TTTAGGGCTTGGGATTTAGGGTGGAGGGAGTAGGGTATATACTTAGGCCATAGAGTACCTATGTAGGGACCCCCTTTAAGGCCTAAGGGTCTACTAGATTACGTGGAGCCCAGGGTTTGAGTTTACGCTCTAGGCTTTAGGGTATTCCGGCATTGAGTTCATGCTCCAGGGCTTGGGGCTTTAATGTTTTGGAGTTTAGGCTTTAGGGTTTAGGGGTTTAGGGGTTTAGGGGGTTTAGGGTTTAGGGGTTTAGGGTTTTGGAATGTAGGCTTTGCAGTTCCATCGCTTCGTATGTGTTGCTATCAGGGTTCCGAGAACGACTCTTCAAGGGTTGCTGTAAGCAGTCTTGCGTTGAGGGCTTTATGGGTAGTTAGTCCCGAACATGCAAAACTGAAACACCATAAAAGCTGAAACTCGAAACCCTTAACATACACAACTACGTACTATAGGAACCGTATGAAAATGCGCTAGAATCCAAAACCCTAAGCCCTAAGCACAAAACCGAGATCAAGCCATCCTCCTCGGTAAGGAACAGGATCACAGGCGGCGGACCACGCCCAGCGCCTGCGATTGGGGCTTGGTCGTCGGGTTCTCGAAATGTTTAAAATGTTTAATAGCTCCGGATTCCATGAAACCTCCTTGTCGATTGGTGGCGTGGATTTCTAATTTGTATAGGGGCCTCAATAATTAGAATGGGGTTTATCATACTATAACTATAGCAAGGATCCCCACCCCGCCAAAAAAACACATATTGGTAGTTATCTAGGCCCCTACATCAGGTGGTTAAGAAATTTGGGTTGGGTGCTGAAGGCCTACAGCATCAAAGGGCTTAGGGTTAGGGCTCAAAGACTGGCAAACTCCATCCCTTGCAGTTGGCCGTGATACCACGGTTGAGGGTTTAGGGTTTAAGGTTTGGGGTTTATAGGGTTTAGGGTTTTGGTTTAGGGTTTAGGGACTAGCGTTTAGGGCTTAAGGTTTATAGGGTTTAGGGTTTAAGGTTTAGTGTTTAAGGTTTAGGGTTTAGGTTGAGGTTTCCCTAAACGCGAAACACAAAGTTTCAGTGCGGCCAGCTCTCAAAGGGCACGTTTTCTACAGGTCTAGGGCTGGGATAAGCCGAACTTGCAGGTTTCGGCCTGGATTAAAAGTCAAAGGGTTTAGGGTTTATAAGGTTTAGGGTTTGGGGTTTAGCGTTTCAGGGTTTAGGGTTTAAAAACCTGTTCACAGAGTTTAGGGTGTAGAGTTTGCAGTTTCAAGGGTTGCTCAAAAACTCCCAACACAACTCGAAGAAAGTAACCTTCAATCCCCATGCAGTGATATCCCAGATGCCATAATTAAACCTAGTTCACAGCTCGTAGGCTAAACCCTGAACCCTAAACCCTAAACCCTAACTTGGGTTTAGGGTTTCCGGGTTGCAAGCAACCTCGGGCAGTGCGTCCGAAGATTCCAGGGTTGCGGAAGATGGTGTTTTTCTTAACTGGTTTGAGGCCGTAATCATTAGAATAGGTTTTGGGGGGTATATGTACTATAACTATGATGATATTATAACTAGAATGAGGAACGCCCCCCAAAATACTATAGGTATTTGTTTAAACTATATTTAAGCCCCTAAGCAACTGGGTTGAGGCATCAGGCTTGTATTACAAGAGCTTATGGCTTAAGGGTTGAAGGGTCTAGGATTAGGTTTGTTGAGTTGGGGTCTAGGCGGTTTAGGTGTTTTGGGGACAAGGAGTTTAGGATCTAGACTGAATCTAGACGTCATCAAGTGTATAACTAGGCTCTTCAGGAACCCCTGCAAACAACGTATTTACTTTCTTTTTTAGCTATAATATACTAGGAACCCAGGAACCCAAAAAGTAAAGAAGTATGCTACTGGGTTTGAGGTTTCACCGGTAACCTTCCGACAACTTTCGGAGAAGGGTCCTCAGATGTCTGCGAGGGGGGCCTTTCAGAACAGCGCGTGGAGTTCTGCGGATGTGAATTGCAATGAACATTATCTGTCGTAGAAGTGCGGGGTGGGTTATTGAGCTACTGAGCACGCCAGAATGACGATCCTCAGCCCCTAAACTTTAATTAAACCCTAAACCCTAAAACCCTAAAGCCCTAAAACACTAAACCCTAACGTGGTCCAAACTAAAATGCAAAGAGCTCTCGTTTTCAACTTTCTGTCCGACAAAGGCAGTTCAACTGTCTTCGGACTGACTGGCTTCGTAGCACTTATGGCTATCTCAAAGCTGAGGGTTTAGGGGTTTGGGTTTAGGGTTACTCAGTTATCGTGAATGTGAACATGGGCAATTGAGGCATTAGGTACTGGCCCAGGAATGAGGCCTTACTAAGCTTGGTTTGATTCAGGGATTTCAGGTTGAAGTAAACCCTGTATTTGCCTGTAATTCCTGAAGCTTAAGCCCCACACCTAACTGTTTTACAGAGACTTAGATCTCAAGGTTGCATGTAACTTGCCTTACCCTAAGGCTCGAAGGACTCATATTTTGAGGCTTTTGGGCCCAAAGACCATACTATATCAGGCTTTTGGGCTACTTTGAGCCTTAGGGTTAAAGCTTTACAAAGAGTCGCTCCCGGGTGTAGGGTTCAGGGCTCAAGGCTTATAGGGTCAATGTAGGGCTTGCGGTCTGGGTTTAGGGTTTAGGGTTTAGGGGTTGAGGGTTGAGGGTTTGAGTCTATAGGGTTTCGGGCTCAAGGTTTCTCGTCGGCGGAGTGTCCAAAGCGTCGAAGACAGCCAGTGCATCCGCTTCCGACACACCTGCCGCAAAGAGGCTGACCTTCAGCGCGACTTGAGGCCATGTTTTGACCAACTCAGCATAGCCCGGCATCGTGAGCACTTGGCCTGCATGGTCTTTGATGAATGACAGACAAGCCTTTTCAAGCTGCTTGGCCTGGAGGAGATGTGCTTGGCAAAGGATGCTGCAGACTTCTGGTTCACTGATCTCCTCGGAAATCTTCGCTTCACACCAGACCTGTAGTCGTTTCACTTCATACTTATGGCTCACGGCCAACAGCGCTTGCATCCGCAACAGCCGTGGACTGCCCTCATCCTCGCTCTCGGTCGATGTCTGCGGCACGAGCTCCTCGACGTCTGGGAGACAGTCGGTGTAGAGGAACTGCAGGAAGGTTTTGAAGGTACTCACATCACAGTCCTCGATCACGATGACTTTCGAAACGCTTTCCTGCATCCCCGCGGTCAGCTGCTTACTGAACACCTCGGATCGCGCGCACAGGATTGGGGAATGCGCCTGGAGCACTTCGTCTTGCACCATGAAGCGCACGTCGCTGCACCTCCCTTCCTCCAAGAGCGCCAGCATTGCTTGGCTCAGAGTCGATCCGGGAACGTCCACGGCTGATCTCAAGGGCTCCGATCGTGCATCTCCCTCAGGGCGAACTTCAAGTACAAGCTTCACAGTAAGAGTGTCCTCCCGCACCCACTCGGAGTCTCGCAGCTCATCATAGCTGAAGCCGAAGATGCCCAGCTGTGTACCTACGGGACGAAAGCCAGGACTATGTACATCCGGGCCATAGGCAGCAAAGTCATAGCGGTCATAGGACTCGAGGTCACAGGAGACCATTGCCTAAGTTCCTAAATGACCCGTAAAATAAGAAGGGTACCCCCTTTTTCCTGTTATTCAGTTTTCCCTAAACCCTAAACCCTAAACCCTTCCCTAAACCCTAAACCCTAAACCCTTCCCTAAACCCTAAACCCTAAACCCTAAACACTAAAAAGGGCAAAGGGTACTCCTCAGGAACCAAGTTGCCGTCTCTCCCCATTGCACAAACTCACCGGTCCGAGCCTGAACCTGGGTTCTTGCTAAGAGACTTAAAATTCAGGGACGGGTACCATCATAATAATAATAACAACAACAATAACAAAAAACACAATAACAATAATCATAATAATAATAATAATAAATAATAATAATAATTGTAATATTAATAATAATGATGATAATAGTAGTAGTAGGGATCTGTAGTAAATAATAAGTTAATAAGTTTCCGGTGGGATTTAATTTACCATAATAAGGAATTCCTTGTTATGGTAACTTAAACTAAATCCCTTAACAAGAACCCAGCAACATGGATGCCATAGCGAAGCGCGAAGATGTTGTCCGTACGGGGCACGATTGCAAGAGACCCGCACGGCCCATCCCTCCAAATCTGCTTCTCCGCATCTACGTTGTATACCTGGACCCCAAAGAACCTACCTTTCTAGGGCTCCTTCTTATGATTTCTTTATAGAAGAAGTCCTTCAAAAAGGTAGGTTATTTTGGGGGTTATAAGGTGCAAACTGGAATGTCTCGTTTCCGACATGAAAGGTCGGCGACCACACCGAATCGCGAGATCCGGGAGCTTCGTTCTGCAGGAGCATGACTCCTAGGCTTGGGAGTTAGGATTAGGGTTTAGGGTTTAGGGTTTTAGGGTTTTAGGGTTTAGGTTTTTAAGGTTTTAGGGTTTTAGGGTTTAGGGCTTTAGGGTTCTAGGGTTTAGGGTTTTAGGGTTTAGGGTTTTTTAGGGTTGTTCCAGGGTTTCGGGGTTTAGGGGGGGCCCTTGGGGATATAGGCCCTCTCGATAAGGTCCCTTATAAGAGAGCCAGAAGTAGGGTTCAGAAGGGACCCCTTTTCAGGGTCTCCCTAATACTACCTAGGAAGGCTCCAATAGGTGGACGGTGTAGGGACTACCCACGGGCTCCATAGTAGTTCATTTTGGGGATTACCTTGTAGGATCCTAAAGATCAGCCACAAAAAGGAACATACTATGGAGCCTCTGGGTACTAATAGGCTCCGTGGTAGTTCCTGTTTGTGGCATATATTGAGGATCCTTTCAGGTAATCCCCAAAAGGAACTACTCTGGAGCCTATGGGTAGGTACCAATAAACCATTCAGAGTATAGAACCCTAAACCCTAAACCCTTAAACCCAACATAGGGAAAAGAGGTAGACATTTCGGGTTAACTGTATACCGTAGGAGGAGCCCAGAGGCCTAAACCCTAAACCCTAAAACCCTAAACCCTAGCGTTTTGGGGTTTAGGGGTTTAGGGGTTAGGGCTAGGGGTTTAGGGGTTTAGGGGTTTAGGGGTTTGGGTTTAGGGTTTTAGAGGTTTCGGGCTTTACGGTTTAGGGTTTAAACCCCAAAAGGATCAAAGCGTACCAATGAGGCTTCCAGGCTCTCAACCAGGAGAAGCCAGTGATCCTCCAGACGTACTCGCCCCTGGCAACCATCACAGCACCTATAGTCTCCATTGTAGTTCCTTTTGGGGGATACCTTTTAGGATCCTGAATATAGAATTGGTTCAACCAAAAAAAGGAACTACAATGGAGACTATAGGCACAGTGCGTGCTCGCTCCACCACTCGTTTCCATCAGCGGATTCTTGGGGCTGGGCGCTTTAGGGTGTGTAGGTCGATGCTCGTAAGGCGTGTCCTTATCAATGCCCCGCCGGCATGCAGCCTCATCTTCATTGCGCTCCTGCTGGGTCACCCTAAATCCTAAACCCTCAACCCCATGCCCTACAAGATCTACACCTCTTGGACCCTGTCCTAAACCCTAACCCCAACCCTAAACCCTAAACCCTAAACCCTAAACCCCAACCCTAAACCCTATACAACCCCCTCAACCCTGCTGAACACCATGGTCCTGCGCCGAAGCCCACCTGGCTCTCACCACTGCCTGGTTTGGGGTTTAGGGTTCTAGGGTTTACCCATAGGCCCAAGTAGTTCCTTTTTGGGATTACCTTATAGGAGTCTAAATATAAACCATAAGAAGGAACTACTTGGGGTTCTAGGGTTTAGAGCTCTTGTTAAGCCCAGCTGTCCATGTGGCTACACAACATACACGCCTTCAAAGACTTCCTATGGATGTGCTTGCGGGTCATATAGGTACATGAACCCTTGGGTCCCGGAAATCCCTCCAAACCTCTATAAAGAAGAATCAGCCACTTGTAACGAAAGCTTACAATGTAAAAGCCTGAGTAGCTATCAATACTTGTATCTTAGGGCTCCCTACTCTAAATCACTAGTACTAACAGAACTCCCCCCAAAAAAGAAACCCATATTAGTTCTTACAGCTCCTATAATATCTAGAAAAGCCTTCTCAACAGGAACCCAGCTTCCAGCTCTTTCCTTAGTCGGAGGCGCTCCGCCGCATGAGCGGTCTCCTCAGGTGTCTTCTTTGCTTAAAGCTTTTAATAATTAGAGCTGCGTCCCTTTAATTTAAAGGCCTGCTTCAATATCAGGGTTAAGATTTCGGGCTTCAGGTGTAAGGACTTTACTCAGAATGAATAGCGGTTTGTGGTGTGCTGTACTGAAACGCTGCTATGGAAGGAAGCCAAAGGAATACAACTACAAGTTAGTTAGTACCCCCACAAGAGCAGAGGGTCAGTTTGAAGAGATTAGTGGGTTTAAGGGCGGTTAGAGTATGTTGATTGCACTGTTTATCGGGTCTGATATCTATGATATGGCCATTTAGGCCTCGGGCTTAGGGATGCAGTGTCAAGTTTTAACTGTCTCTTTTGAAATGTGAAGTGGTTTATACAAACCCCGTTATACATATATATATATATCTCATATAAATCTAAATAAATAAATAAATAAATATATATATATATATATATATATACAACATACATATATATATATATACATATATATATACATATATATAACCATATATATATACATATACATATACATATATATATAACATATATATATATAAACACATACTAAGACCTGCTAGTCCCTGACAGAGGGGCTTAGCTTAACGACTAGACAAGTCGCGGCTTGGAGGTCTTGAAGCCTCGCCTCCTCGGCCTCGGCCTCAGGGTTTGGGGTCTTGATGCGGGGGGTTCGGGTGCTTTGACGGGTTCGGGGTTTAAGGTTTATAATATAGGGGTTAAGGAGTTTATTGTCTAGGATTTGGGGTTTAGGGGTTCGGAGTTTAGGGTTTAGGGATTAAGGGCTTAGGGTTTAGGGCTTTAGGGGTTTAGGGTTTTAGGGTTTAGGGGTTCCGGGTTCTATAAGGATTCTACGAAAATTCCTCTCGTCTCGTCGTCTCGATCTCGGCGCGCAGCTCTTCGGCGGACATGGCGAGTGCGAGAGGAAACGGCCCCAGAAAGGCTGCCAACACTAGCTGAAAGGGCTCCTTATAAGGATTTCTATCATGGTTAAGTATGGTTATGGGCAAGAATAAGGAGAATAGGGTTTGGAGTATAGTATAGTATGTTTGAATATCGGGAGTTTACTGCCTTCCATATCATGTAGTACCTATATAAGCGTGAGACCCACTTATGCTTTGCGCCCATAAACCCTTAACCGCTTAGGTTTGTCCCCAGACTTCTCTGTTCAAAGTCATATCGCCCCCAGAATCTGACTCCCTAGCGTAGCGGATTGCCTGGATCCAATATCCCTTAATTAAGGAATACACCTTAAATCATGTTAGGGATCCTACAATAATTTAAGGAGTAGTCCTTAATTAAGGGATATTGGAGTCTTTGAGTGGGGGGTTGGGAAACCGGCGCCTGGCGGATTTAGGAAATAGTAGGATCCTTATTATAAGGACCCCAAATCAAGGTACCCATTATTTTAGGAAACTCCCCTTTAGCAAAGACCATCCCTGCGCACCATGCTGGCCAGAAAAAATCTGAAACTGGAGCTAAGGCTGCGGGGAACGGCTTCTGGTCTAGTTTCGTGCTTTACCAGTTTTGAGCACTACTGTACTGCTGATGGACAAAAACCTGCCGTGCCCGCTTGTGCCCTAAACGAAAGCAAGCCTTGCATTTGCTTTGTGGTGGATGAAGGAAGATTGTCTCCATTAGCCTGGCAGGGTGAAGAATAGTTTGCCGTAGCCGTGGAAGACCATGAAGCCGAACCAGCCACCGTTGGATGAGAGTCTTGTTGACTCTAACCCTCGAGCCCTCAGCTGAACCCTAGAGAAAATTGAACCCAAACGAGGCGTTTAGGGTTTTGAAGGTGTTGAACACCACGCATCGTACAAACCTACACACCTTCTAACTCGGAGCCAGACTACTAACTATAGTAAACCCACAATCAAACCTCCGTGTTCTACGGCCTGCGCTCTCGTAGACGGCTTGCCGGATCCTCACGTGGAAATGCCATAGACGATAGTAAGCCATAATTGTTGCAGCAGGGTCTTGAGACCCACCACATGTCGCAGTTTAACTAAATCCCTGCATTCTAAACAGCATCACAATACGGGGACACAAGTCGTAGTACTTCTCCAGACCTGTACGATCTTCCTGGAACCTGCGTTTCTAGGGTTTAGGGTTTAGCCCTTCCAATGCCCCAACCTTACACTCCCAAACCCAAACCGTAAAACACCCCGAAAACTAAAAGAACGAAAACCAGGCCGCGAAACATCCTTATAAACCCCTAAAAGCAGCTTATGAATTTCTTCATGAACCCCTCTATGAATCAAACCATATGACGCCCTTGAAATCACTTCCAACACGCTCAACCCCTAATCCCTAAATCCCTAAAGCCCTCAATCCTTAAACCCCGTTTAAAAACCGCAGAGATCTGGGTCCTCTCTGCCGGGCCATCCCCTGCGCAGCCCAAT